GGAAAGGGGCAGAGGAAAGCACACAGCAAGGGTGCTACAGGGAGGAGGGAAGGGGGCCACTGCATCAGCGACTCATGGCATAGCTATGGCTGTCCAGCTCCTGAGGGCTGCTCCCCTCCTTTGGGGAGGTGCTGCAGCCTGGTGGGCTGGTGGGGCTCATCCTTCGACAGGGGTAACCCTGGTCCGTGCTCTCCCTTTGCCACCCCAGGGCCTGGTCAATCATCTCCAAGCGGAGTGCAGGCAGCAGGCCCAGGTTCCTGGGGTCTGCCCGTGCCAGAGGGTTGTCAGCAGAGACACGCCGGGGCCCACCCCGTTCCCGCACAGTCTGATAGAAGGAGCTGCCCTCGTGGCTGGTGGCTGCCCGCCCTGGCTCCTTGGCTTTGGCTTCACAGCACCCTGGTTCCTCCTGGGGCAGGTGGATGGTGGGGATGTCCCCAGAGAGGCCTCGGCGGCTCTGGGGTGAAGGGCTGCGGCTCGTACCCCTGTCCCGGCTCGATGGTCGCAGGATGAGGCCCTGGAACTTGGCCAGGCTGGGGCTTCGGCTCCGGTGCCGTTTCATCTTGCCTGGGCTGGGACTACGGGATTTGGGGGCCAGCAAGACAAGTGTGCTGTCATCCTCCTCTTCTGAGCTGCTGCCTGAGCTGTCCGTGGGGCTGCTGCCCTCCTCCGACCTGGGCAGGGAGATCTGCACCCCTGCATCAGCACAGCTGGCTGATTCTTACAGGGGGCTGAGAGCACCCCAAGCACCCCTACACACATCCCCACCCCTGCCTCCCTCAGCCCCTCAACCCAGGGCTCCTGGCCATGCTGACCTGGAAGGGCTCAGTCACGCCAGCGATGCTGCTAGAGGTGTTGCTGTAGTATCCAAGGATGTACTCGCCCTTCCCTTTGGGCAGCGCCTCCTCTGAGAACATCACCTGCAGCCCAGAGAAAGCTGATGGGCACCAGGGCTGGTCACAGGTGTGCCCCCTCCCACCTCCAGCCCCAGCTGAGAACAGAAATCCCTGATGCCAGCACAGTGGACCTTCCCAAGGCTCAGCACAAAGCAATAAGGAGCTACCCCTCCTACCCCATCAAGGTCAGAAAGGGGCCACTGTCCCCCACCGTGGCACGTATGTGCCCAGTGAGACAGCAGGGCTGGCCCCAGCTCACCTGTGCACACAGTTGCTTCTCTAGACAGCGCTCTCCATCATCGCTCCTGGCCCAGACATAGGACACATAGTCTTTAGGATGCCGAAAACCCACCTGTGTGCATGTACAGAGGAGAACATTAGCCCTGCCTAGCACCATCAGCCACACCTGGCCTTTGCTCTCTTCTCACTCAGCCCCCTCTCCTCACACAGGGGCACCAAGGGCTACCTTGCACCCACCCCGCAGCACCCTGGGCCCGCAGCCCCCAGGAGTGCCAGCCTTTGGACCCTGTGGTGCCCACAGAGCAAGAAGGAATTGCTCTATCAGAGCCTCCTAAAGCAGGGCCAAATCCTGCTGCTAACTGCCAGGGCCTCCCAGGGGAAGGGAGAGCACAGGTCCATGCCATACACTTGTCTCCAGAAGTGGGGGGTAGCTCAGAAGGGACAGACCCCGCAGTGCTGTGCAGTGCTCCCCACTCCCTCCAGCCCCAGCAGCCCCCACGCCCCTACCCGGTAGAGTCCTATCCAGTCCCAGGAGCTCCGGTGGAAGCCAGCAGCCATCTTGTACCTGACAACTGCTTGCTCAGGCCTGCTCCATTCATCAGCCACATAAATCTCAACGGGGGGCTTGTCTGCCTTGGAAGCAAACTGTCAGAGACATGTACGTAGTGAGCAAAGGCATACCAAAGAGAGCTGCCCCTGCTGCCCAGGGCACCTGTCTAGGGCTGGGCACTCATGCATACACCAACAGCAGCCCCCAGCCACAGCAGCAAGATAGCCGAGCTTACCAAACAAAAAGGCAGCAAGCCCCACACACCCCATCATAGGCTGCACGCACTAGCTGAGCGTCTCACCCCTGTAGCTCCTGCCTGTGTGCCCTGTGGCCCCAGACAGTGCTCACCTGCACTGCAAAGATGGCAGCTACCGGCTTGTGGTCGCTGACGGTATACTCCATGTGGCTGCAGTAGCAGAGCTGGCTCACTGACAGGATGCCTTGGCTGGGCTGGTGCCCACCCCCACCAAGCCCAACACTGGGAGATTTGATCTTCCAGAGGATGCGGTCAGTCCAGGCAGGTTTTCGCTTCTTGGCACTGCAGGGCACAGAGGGGCATCTCTTGCCTGGCAGGGGGCAGTGGGCTCCACCCCAAACTGCCTCCCCCCAGCACTACACCACACACAAGCAGGGGATACAGTTCAGTGTGGCTGCAGAGACAGACCTGCGCTGGCACCAGCATGACAGTTGTGTTCCAGCCTGCCATCCCCAGTCCAGCCCATGCCCACCCCAGCATGGCTCCCTCCATCCATCCACACCAGCATCAGCCCCTTCCCTGCTCGCAACAGCTCCTGCCCTGGCTCTGAGGCCCACCACTCTTGCATCCCTCAGCCATGCCAGCTGCTCCCAAGCCCAGCACACACTTGAGCTCTGCTCTCCTACCTGCTGTCGTATTTGTTGGTGCCCACGTCGAACTTGAAGGTGGGTGGGAAATTCAGGGGTCCCTCCTGAAAGCCACTGAGGACAGGCCAGGTGCTCTTGGCCATGTTCAGCTGTGGGAAGGAGAACAGGTCGGGGAGCACGCCAGACCCCTCTGCAAGCTCCTGAGACACAGCACAGTCATCCCTGACCCATTGCTGCCAGCCTCACACAGCTCTCGGGGTCTGTCCATGCCAAGCAAGCAGCAAGTCCCTAGACCCAATGCTCCCAGCTCCTCCCAGCACACTGATAAAGGAAGCGTGTGCCCAGCTCCCATGGAGACCATCCTGGGCCTGTGCTGCCCCTTCCCCACAGAGCCAGGGCCCTTTGTGCCCCACAGGCAGCAAGGGAACATGCCCTGTCCCACAGCTGCAAGTACAGTTTTGGCAAGAGCCAAATGCCGCTCAGGGTCTGGCTGAGGCTTGGCAGCACACTCATCCCTCTCACCTGGTCCTTCTCCCAGAGCTGGCTCAGGATGTTGCTGTCGATGGCATACTTCACAAAGCGGATGTCAAGGCTCTCGATGCGGAAGTTGAGATCCCCAAACCAGAACACAAGGCTGTGGGTGGGAGGGAGGGTGACAGGATGGAAGGGCCCATCCTCAGCCTGTGGGCAGCCTCAGCCTGCAGTGCAGGCACTCTCAGGAGCACCAGTGAAAGTCAGCACACAGCCAACAGCTTGGCTGTCTGCCAGCCCTGCCAGGATTCCTCAGGTAGGACCAAGCACCATTAACCAAACAGGCCTGACTTCCCTGGGCAGAAATTGAGGGTGGAAATTTCCACCATAAGGCACCTACCAGAGTCAGACCGCACAGCCAAGACACCAGGGCAGAGCCGAGCCCTCCACCTCACCAGTCCCAAACCCCCACAGCACCAGTATGGCAGGAGCTACACCAGGCCTGGATGTGCCCCAGGGGAGACCAAGGACCCCTCTTAACACCTACCCCATTGTGCTGGGTCCCCACTGGGCCACAGGACAATCTTGCAGCTCTGCAGACAAGACCCCAGCTCCAAGCTGTGCTGGGATTCAGGGGACAGATCCCAGACCCTATCTGGAGGTGGTAAAGGATGGGGGCTGGCACTGGAGTCCTGGCCCAGACTGGGGAGCAAAGTGGTGGGGTACGCACTCATGGTCCAGGATGCCGCTGGCCGCATGCCCCTCAAACTGCTGCATGTGCAGTATGGTGGCAAAGTCCTCCTTGCGTTGCTCCGCCTTCTCCAGGTGTGCTGGCAGGTGGCAGTTCAGGAAGCAGACCATGTGGCCGAAGATGGAGAGACGAACACTCACCCCACCCTTGTTGCCCTGCACCGAGAGGATCCCATGACTCCTCAGGAAGCCAGCCCCTCACCACCCCGCCTAGGACCACACTCACCCAGTAG